AAACAATTTTCTAGAATTTGTTCAATGCAGAGTAGTAACAGGTTGTATTGGCTATCAAAAGCAACAGCAAACGCACCGAGAAACGTTAAATCTAGCGAGTTATTAACAAAAGAGAAAATCGACGAAGAGAATCGATCATCGCGTATAGGCCCTTATGCATGCTTACTGTCGATATACAGATGAACTTCGATATAACATACCCTCGATATAACGTACCCTCGATATAGTGTCACTCGATATAAGATACATTTTACCTCGATATAAGATACACCTTTCAAAATATTTTTTTTTATTTCTCATTATCATCAGAATTAGTGTTTCAAGATTCAAGAACAATAGATTATAAGTCCAAATGGACCGTCCAGAGACCTCGCATTGGGGGGGGGGGCAGCATCCCAGGTGCAGGTATTGAAAGTCTGCAGGGGCTGTGCACTAATTGTGTAAGACATTTTAGTGATTTTCCAGCTCCAACTAATTTAAAATTAATGCACACCCATAATCAAAACTATGAGCAGAGCCGCTGTGATATTCATGTCAGCGATATTTAGTTTGACACTGGCAAACTGATTTTCACTTCAAGAGACTCATAAAATTCAGCATTTTGATGGAATTGAATTGATATTAACGTCTTCAAACACTGGTTTATAGGGGATGGAATGAGGTATTTAGCTTTCCACACTCGGTTCTTTATTGGTTTTTGACAGCTGCTGGATGTAACACGCTGGTGAAATGTGGTCCTTTTCCATATGTTCTACTGAGAGGCGAAGAGGGGAGAAAAGCTTTTTAACCAGCAGCTGTCAAACATTGTAAAGAACGCTTTTCATATACACGAAGACCGCCATTACCGAGCATACGGTACATCCATCCTATGAATGTCATTCTCATGTTGACTACATTTCTCATCGTGACATAGGAAAGGTGGGAGCATATAGGAAAGCAAGAGTGTTCGTATTTTGATGTCCCTCAATTGAGTTTTTAAATCAAACACATTATCTGTTCATTTAAATAACATGTGTATGAGCTTTTACTCACGAGAAATTAGCAGTTGAAGTTGACACTGATTTTAAAACATAGTCAGATCAGCGTACAATATTCCCACCTCTACTAAGTTTTATATACACCTTGTATGAAAGCTTCTGTCAAACACTGTTATTGATCTACACTGAACGAAAATATCCGCAATACTTCGGATGATTATTGCATTGGTCGAGCCCTTTAGCAATATGCTTTCGAATTTTGGATGATTGCCTTATGGTTGAATTCGTCATCAGCTGACGAGCATCCATATGACTGTCCTCTAAATAAAGGATGATAATTATTTGAAAATTGGCTGTACAACATACAGTGCTTAGAGGATATCAGTTTAATAATAGGATGGCTTGCAAATGCTTAAAATTGGATTGATAGTTCGATTGTTTATATTTTTATATTGAATAGCCAGGAACAGCCATTCCATCATGGATACAAAAATCTTTTGTTGGTAGACGAAACTTCTTCCACCACGAAATAGACAATCTTCGGTTCCTACGCTTTATCAATGCTCGGACCACCTCTGATAGCGATGAATATGTTTTCAGCTCGTTTCTCAGCTCAGATCAGCAAAAGACGTTCGATAGAATGATTTACATCATCGTTTTGGAGGATTTTCTTTATGGGGCTGAATCAGTACAATATGCATTTCGATTTGGGATGACAATCATTCTACAGAGAGCATTACGTATTTCAACTGAGGTCCGTTCGCTTCTCGTATCAATGTTCATCCTGTATTCGAGAGGAGCATCATCTGAGTACAAAACAATCGTCGTCCGGTTGCAGCTATCATTTGAAAAAGCAATTTCGATGTTTCGATTCGAATGGTCTGAGGTTTCATTCGAACAGAGCATGATGTTTTGGTACAGTGTAAGAGAAGAGGAGACAATAAGGGGGCGAAAACGAACCACTTTTCTGTCAAACGCGAACCAGCTCGTGATTGGTCGATTTGAAGTGCGTAAGATAGAGATAGAGATAGAGATAGAGATAAAAGAGTAAGAAGGCAATTGTATCCTCTTCCTCTTAGTTATTGATATAGGACCAGTGGCTTAGACACATTCATTCAAAGTTTAAATCAAATCGAAACAAATTCACAAAAATGGCTCCGAAAATTCCTAAAGAATTAACTTGTAACAAAACAAGGAAACGTTCCGTTGTTGTTTTAACCGACAAAGTAAAAATAATTCAGGATGCAGAACAAGGGATGTCCATAAAATCAATAATGCATAAATACAACATAAAATCGCGAGCGACAGTTAGTGGCATCATTCGTGCGAAGCAGAAAATAATGTCGAATATTGCGGAAGTTCAAGGAAATATTGGTAAGTGCATTCATGTCAAACTCTAAACAATTTCTCATGTGTCAATCGGTTCACAGCTAACCGAAAGCGCTTCAAGAAGCCTCGATATCCAGCGGTAGACGAGGCGTTATACGTTTGGCAGCTAAACGTTCCTGTAAGCCACGAAATGCTTCAAGTACAGGCTCAGAAGTTCTATTCACAGATGATTGGGGAAGGTGAATATGGTAGCCGTGGGTATGTTGACAAATTTATCAAAAGGCATGATATTCGCCTTCTTAAGATAACTGGGGAAAAATTGTCCAGCAACCTTGCGGTTATCGACCAATATGTTGTAGATTTCTCGCAAGAAATGCGTTGTCGTAACTTGCAACCATATCAAATTTTCAACGCTGATGAAAGTGGCTTATATTTCAAAGCAATCTCATCGACAACATACGTCGACCGGAATTCTGCCAGTGCTCCTGGTAGAAAAGTCAATAAGGAGCGCATAACTTTTATGCCCTGTTCAAATATGGACGGTTCTTTGAAGCTTCCACTCATGTTAATTGGAAAATACAAAAATCCTCGACCACTGAAGAACCTAAAGGATCTTCCTGTCTACTACAGATCATCCAAAAATGCGTGGATGACGAGGGAGTTGTTCAAAAATTGGTTTTTTGAGCAATTCGTCCCGCTAGTTACTGATTTTTTAAAAGGACTAAGCCATCCTGTGAAAGCTGTTCTCGTATTGGATAACTGTTCGGCTCATTATAGTACAGAGGAATTGCGAACAGATGACGGAGCCATATTTTGCAAATTTTTGCCACCCAATACCACCGCTGTAATCCAACCGATGGATCAGCATGTTATTCAGATGGTGAAGGCTCGTTACAAGAAGATCATGACAAACGAGATTCTTGGAAGAGGTGATGATTTTCACGATAACGTCAAACGCATCAACATCAAAGATGCCATGTTTTGGATTGCCCAAGCATGGGAAGCTGTTCCGGAATCTGCCATTCAGAAGTCCTGGAAAATATTGTATACGGAGACACCGGGTGATGATGAGGACGACTTGCCATTGTCCGTATTGCAAGAAAGGCTGAGGAACATAATGAATAATATTAACCAGCTGGAAACAATTGACGAGGAAAACGCAGAGTTCGAGATCCTGAAGGACGATGAAATCGTTGAGAAAATACTCAACCCATCAGTTGATGACTTCTCTTACACAACGAACCAAGATCACGAGGATAGCCAACATCTTTCTACATCGGTTGATCCTGAAGATGAAAATGTTAACGTTTCTGATGAAGCTGCTTTGAATGGAGTTGACGTTCTGCTTAGGTACGCGGAAGAGCAAGGTTGGTCGCTTAACACCCAGTTTTCTTTGCGTAAAATGAGACAAGACATCTTGAACAACATAGTAACTAGAAAGACTTGATAAATCTCAAGAGTGAATATCTTATTTGATGCATTGGTTGTTATGTAAACATGAATGGTTATATAATTTCCTGAACTGATTTTTTTAACTCGAAAAACTACACGATATGATAAATTCCATTGAATTCTTAACAAGTTGAATGTTACTAAATATATATTTTCGAAGGAAAATAGAATGCTAATCAATTATGTTATATCGAAGTTTACCTGTATCACGTAAAGTTCTGAGACATTTCATGCAATGTAGCAAATATTGTATACAAAATCCCATTGTTGTAAACAACATTGTTTACAAGTTGCTCGGTTCCGTGAAATGAAATACAAGTTTACGTGAATGAATGTTTACATCACTATTAAAATTCAGAATTTGTATCTGTGTAGCATTTAATACGACAAACACGGCAAGAAACGTCAAATGTCAATGTCAATGAAAAGAATCAATCAATGTTACTTAGGACCTAATGCGTTGTTCAGCTTGATTTCTCATGTAATTTCAACGCTGATCGAGCCCATTCATGACAAATGCATTCAATCTGGTTCATTACTCATTGGCAATGGAACGGCTCAATCTATCCGTTGGTATTCACAATTGTCTGTGAAAACATTCAGCATTTCCTGTGCACATTTTCGGATTGTTTATATATTCATTGAAAAAACACCGACATCCCGCATGATCTCATCATCCCAGATGCGTAGATATTTTCCACCAACCAACCAACACCTCAATCACCTTCGTCATTTATGCCACCAATCGGGTGGTGTCAGGGAAATCCATCCAACACGAGATCTGCCACAAACGCTGCTGCTACAGGCTGACACGTGCGCCCTTGTATTAGTGGAAGAGAGTGGAAATCTGCTCGCTCTTACTCTCCCTCTCTCCCGTTGCGATTTGGTTGTTGGGTTGATAGCGATAGCGGTGGTGGTGGCATGTAGACGACTATGGCTATGACGACGGTTGTTGTCGGCGGAAAAGTGTTGGTGGAAAATTGCAAGCGATTGTTGTTGAAAGAAAAACATGCGAGAGAACAACACGGAGGACATTAGGAAGAGCGCACAAAGTGGAACTACGAATAAGCGTTGTCGTATTGTTTACGGTGGTGCTCGTTGCTTTCGCCCATCTTTCCATCATCAGCTTTGTGGACGCTTTTTGTATTCAATGGGGGTTGTTATGTGAGAATTAAATAAAACGGAGAAAACAAAGAATCAATGAATATTTAACAAAAGATTCATTTCTTTTCTCCTTTTCAGATGGTAATTGACCTGCGATAGAAGGAAACCTACTAAGTTATGTAGCTGAACCGCCCACCGGTATGCTGTGAATACATAGATCCGGAGGTGTGCTTATCGGAAGAAGTTTCTTCAAAACTACTCAAAGGCTGTAATAAGGATATAATGGTGAGTAGGCATTTGCGGTTGCTAGGCATAATGGTCGGGATGTTGAAAGGAGGGGGGAGGGGGGGAGGGTCATAAAAGGGACACGACCGACACGACACGACTGATGGAACAACTTTTCGCAATGTGCAAGCGATGACACAAGCCAGAGCAAGGAGTGCCATCAGGTCGGTAAGTGTCGACTCTCTGAAGTGGAAAACATTTAATTACACTGAATTGCATAATATTGGCACAAGGACTCGGGAATTGCCTGGTGGCTCACAGGAGAAAACGGAAGGCAAACTTGAAGATAAAATATAATTAAGATAAAATCACCGCTTCGCTTCGGTACGATTTGCTAAAACCAAGCACTGCAGCAGCTTAGCTCATGTACCGTGGAGATCCAGTACGAGAGGACACGGCGCACGATGCAGGGTAATCTGCCTCTCAGAGCAATTTCCGATGGAAAAAATAGCGTTAGATCTGAATTTACATTGTAGGGTATGCAAACAATATCGAGATTAAACCATTGGACTGGAACGAAATGTTGTATTGTACTGGTCGGGTGGCCTGGGATGTAAATTGTTACGACCGAATGCAAGATGTGTAGAGCAGAACCATAATGTTGGGTGACATAGTGTCATGCTAAGTTTACGTCACTTGCTCCCTGTCTCCTCACTGCCCTCGATCAGCGGTACGGTCTTTAAACCGAAAGCGGCGTAGTGGATACATTTTAACGATTTTGTTTATCTGTTGAGCATTTAGCTCTTTGGTCTTCAGTTGCTTGACTTATAGGCGTAGTTGGAACGTACCCAAGTAACTTTTCGAGTTATATCGAGGCTTTAAAGTATTCTGCAAGTCCATGTCCATGCAATCATGAGACTATAAAAAAAAAACATTGTTGCTTGGGTAGTAGCCAATAATAAGAATAAGAAGAAGTAAGAATTATTTAAAATAATCTAACTCGAATATTTTCAGGTTCTTTTGGAAGACATAGATCGCTTGTCTTTCCCTCTCCCTTTCACAGAGGCTGCATTTTTGGCCGAACGTCCCGTTAGACATTAAAACGTAAGCCATACGCACTAGGATGGTTCAAATTATCTATTTTGCTCGACTCCAAATAATGTCTTGACTATTCTCCCAAAATTGAAGCTTATTTGGGTGCAACCTGATACTACACATGTCTTTTGAAGTTTATTGAGCATGACCACGAACATTTGAGCAATTGTGACTGTACTCCGTGATTGACCAGACTCAGGAAAATTTGCACAAATAGCCAAATGAATGGGGCTTGGGCAACATAATCCATTCTCAGTGAGCAAACTAAGATGTATCAGTGCTTTCAAGATCGATTACGGTGACCGACTAATCCTCTTCATCTTTACCGAGTTGCTTATGTTTCGGTTTTAGAACACTATATTTTACATGAAATGTTTGTTTACGTTCCATGTTTTACGTTCAATATGGATTACATCTCGTGTAAAAGTAGTTATTTTTAAGTGTGCACGATCCTCTGCTTAGCAAGCAAAACCGTTTCCACTAGGCCACCGAGCCCCTGCATCCAAAAAAGATCAGTGCAACCGAGGATCCTTTAAACTCGACAAACTTGGTGGGGTGAAAGGTAACCTCTTTGGGAATGAATTTTTTTTAAATGTTTTATTTTATTTTATTCAATATAGTCCCCTTTTAGCTAAGTGTATCGATTCCAGCAATTTTCCAACTTCATGATCCCATCCGAAAAGTAATTTTCCGGAAAGTCTACAAAATACTCGAATACGAATACGGTGGATGCGGAAGCAATTGGAGCCGTAAGTCATTGATTTTAGCCGTGGTTGCGATGCTCTTGTGCGCGCATTGTCTTGCAAAAACATTTTTTTTTTCACTTCATGTGAGGCCGTTTTGCATCGATTTCGGCCTTCATCTTCTTCTTCTTCGCATTTCAAGCTTATTGCATATCGCATATTAGCTTATTGCACTTAGTGTTAGCACTTCCACGGTTATTAATTGAGAGCTTTCGATGCCTGTACCATTTTTGCATGCAAATCCCAGAAAACCAACGCCATAACCTTTCCGACCCATCGAGCCTCCCTCGGCCGCTTCGGATCACTCGTGCCGGTTTCAGTCCATTTGCCAGGCATTCATTCTGTTTTCTGATGTGTAATAGTGGATCCAGGTTTCATCAACAGTTACCAATCGACGCCAAAAGTCCGCCCGATACCGCATCAGCAAGTCCAAACATTCTTTCGAAGTGCTCTCGCATTCGTGTTTTTGGTCAGGAGTGAGCTTGCGTGGCACAAAGCGGCAGGATAACTTTTTCATATGCAGAATCTCGCCCAAAATATGGCGTGTGTGCTCAGTACTAATCTTTGCGGTATCTGCTAGTTCGCGCACCTTCACTTTCCGGTCAGCCAACACCAATTTCATGTTTTTTTTTTTGACGTTGTCCTCTGTAACCGCTGCGGATTTGATCGGTAGTGGAGTTGCGGCCACCACGAAACTCTCGAAAACAATATTTGACGGTGTAATCTGACGGAGCATTAGCCCCATGACACAGACAAACAGACATAACACTCACAAGTTGTTCATCGAACAAGCATTTAACGGTCAATTTAAAAGTATCGTAGTTGGTAGTACCGCCACCTGTGGCGCGCATAGTCAATACCCTTGCGTTTGACGTTTACACACTACCGCCATCTGTTCAGCGTACTACCCACCACAGTGTACTCAACAGATGGCGGTAATGTTTTAGCGACGATGTTTTACAGTGAGAAATATTCAATGTGTTATGTCTGTTTGTCTGTGCCCATAATATTTATCCAACTTTTCTTTTGTTTCCTTCGCCGTTTTGCCTCCCAAAAAATAATGTATTATGAGAGAACGAAAATCGTTTTTATCCATACTCAATTTGGCATGTCTGCCTAAATGTGAACGGACTACAAGGCACTATAACCCAACGTGACTATACATATAGGTGTTCCAATGTGTCAAATTCATGATTCAGCCTTGTTGGATTTTTGTATGGGATAGCGACCGAGTTTGTTTACAATTGACTCTAAAACCGCACTTCCCCCGCGATCTCTCCGCCCATATAGTGACAAAATTGTATCACCATGCTATAACCTTTTTTGCAGTAGTCAAAGAGGTTACTTTTCACCCCATTAGTAAAGCTATTCAAGTAAAATGACGTCTTCGAATAGTTCTTATACGTCACATTTAACCAGGCCATGAGTAACCAGCTCCAATAGGCGTATCCAATAGAAATTAAGCGATCGTTTGGTGGTGAATAATGGAACCATCAAAAGAGTGATGAGGGCTGAAATTTTCGCCGTGAAGCATACGAAGAGGAAAATGTTTTCACCTTTTCTGATTAATTTATCCATCGCAGGTGTTTGTTATCATCATCCACATGGAATATTTTGTTTCCTGTATCGATTTTGGAGTGGACCTGCTGGTGCTTCCACATATTTTTGTTAAGAAAAATGAAGATTTATAAAACTACCCTAGCGGTTATGATTTTCCGGATTTTTAATGTGTTGTTATTTGAGCTATAAATCCGTTCAAATATGTGAAAAATACTAAAATAAGACCCCTACCGATGGAAATATGCAAGATACGCATAACAATATGCGTTAATTTGAGATGTAAAAATTGTAATTTTGATGTAAACAAACGGTTTGGTTGACGTTTCCTCTCATAATAACCTAGCGCACTCTACATTGGTGGTGCATAGAAACAGCCTATTGCTGATTTGTTTTTGAAGTAGGACTACGTCTTTGTGGGGTTTCTAATCATGTTTTTATTACTTCATGCATGAAGTTAACGATCTATGACTCGGCGCTCAACGAATTCATTTTTTTTTTAGATTTTTATACTTTGTTAGACGTGTTTCTCGCCAACTATTGCACAAAATAATACCGTAAAGGGGGGAAACTTGCGACACTTTTCATCTTCCAAGCTATGCAACATAAAATAATACAACATAAGAACGAATGTAATTAATCTTGTACGCTATTGGCAGTATGTAGAATACAACTTACTACTCATTTTAACGAAACTTGGTTTCCCTAAATAACAAAAAAAATCCTTGTGGCAAGTTACCCCACATGTGGGTTAACTTGCAACATATTCTATGGTTTCAAATTTGGGGCCGATTGCTCTAACTACATTAATCAAATGTTTGATAAACTTGTCATAAATTGAGAAACTAATGTAAAGGGCCATCAACAGATTAGGTAAGCATTGAAAGGGGAGGGAAGTTCGAGATTTTCTTTTGTGCTATTCAAATGGAGGTAATTTCATACAAACAAAAGCTTACAATGGGGCTACAGAATTTGTAGATAGCCCCTAAGACTTGAATGAAGACTGAATATCCTCTTTCCCTTGTCTAGACGCTTATTTAGATTTTACCCTAGATTTTCTTTGTTTTTGAAGCAGGGACATTTGCAAACCGACTTTTTTTTTTATTACATTAACCAATGTTTTGTACCAGACTTAAGAGTTCTAACTTACTTAAGCTCCACCGGTACCTGCGGGGTTTCTTGAAAATTGCATTGGCAGCAAACACCCCAATGAATCCTGATCGAATACTTTGAGTTCTCCAATTTGCTTAAGGTTCTTGAACAGATCAGATAATTCAAGAAGTTTACATAATGCCTTTAAACGTCAGCTAATATGCCTAAATAAATCTCACCCCCGGACAAGTCACGAATGACCCAAGAGCGTTAAAGTGACTATAATAATAAAAAAAGGTTAACGGAACATTATTAACCTTTATGTGCCTAACGTCTAAATAAATTTGCGTAGATTTGAAAATTCAATTTGCTCTAAAAAACATAACTTCTCAATCTTTTGTTGCCCAACAAGTAGCATATTGTTGGAAATCTAATCAAATTTATGAATTTGTCTGAAAAAATATGGATCAATACATGGTTCCGGAGTTATTCTGGTTTCCGTTGGGGTTACTGGGCTACAAAATGGTGAGTGACAATCTGGAAGGAGCGATATACCTAGCTCCGGTCCTTACA